GAATCAGAAAAAACCGAGTTTATTATTTATGTTATGTAAAACCTGAGATGGATAAGTAAGACCTGAGTTTAATAACCATATTTGTATAAGCCTGGGTTTTATTAAGTAAATTTGTATTATTGTTTTTTTTTTTCATATAATGCTTGGGTTCATTAAGATAAAATTTGTATACAGATTTAAGTTTTTAAATCTTTGATAAATATACCAGTATCTCATTTATTATTTATTAAATTTAATAAAATTTTTTATTTTAATAGTTTGGATTTATATCTTTACACTAGTTCTAGTATTTTTTAAATTTAATTATAATTATAATACATTAATAAATTTTGTAATTAAAAGTTTGATTATTTAAAACAAACAAATAGCTTGTTATAATTAAAAAATTATTTATTATATTGCAATAGTTATTATTTGAAAAATTATGTATCTCTAGCTAGAGATGCATTTCTGGCCTAAAACTATGTCTTATTATATAATTTTAATTAGGGTTAGAATCATATAGTATTGAGCGAAAGTAAATGTTATAAGTAAAATTGTTTTTTTTGACATTTTTAATTAGTACTTTAAAATAGGTTTAAATAGATGTTTCTTCTAATTTCACACTTATTACTTTTTTACCCATTTTATTATTGTTATTGTTTTGTTGGACTAATTTATAATAATTATCTTTCATGTTACCTTTATATTACTATCATGTAATTTATTCATTTTTTAATTGGCTATTAGTTCTAAAATATTATTATTAGACATCTTTAGCTAGAGATGTCTAGAAGTGTTTTTATTATTTATATTATAAGTTTTTTTTTTTTAACTTAGTGTTCGGACACTAGGGTTTTATTGAGGTTTATTTAGATATATTACATATGATCATTTGATCATATACAAATTGTATTTACAGTGAGAGTACAACTAGCCACTATACTTTTGGCATTGTATATACTAGCTGCCTTACATACAATTTTTTTTACAGTGGGATTTTTATATTTTAAATATTTTCATCCATTTATGCTATAAAGAATAAGTAATAATTATCGAAAAGTAATTTCATAGAAACCAAAAAATATTACTAACCGACCCGAGTATTAATAAAAAATTTGAAAATTCTAGCCTAAAATTCAATATATATAATGAATACCAGCAACCAAAAACTAGAAAAGATTGGTGTAATGCATGCAATTCAAACTATTTTTTAGAAAACTATAATTGAACTAGTGATAATGAAGTAATCGATGAATTTATTCAGAAAAAACAGTTTGGAGCTTTAAATTGTAAAGAGGTTGTTAAATGGATTCCTTATAATAGATTTCATGATATTGCACAATTTGCAGAAAGAGAGTTTAATATTTTTTTTATAGTAAAATAGATCGATAGACGTATTCTAAAATGGGATTGTAAAAATAATGAATGAAATAGATATAATGACAATAAAATATATTGCTTAAAAGGCCGTAATAATTTATCCAAGTCTTTACATGAAGTAAGATAAACAAATATATTCTTTATATTTTTTTTATCATTATTAAATACTTATTTATATTTTTAGATAGAAAGTTAATTAAATAGAATTTGAAAAGTTCAAAACAAATTTGCAATGCATAGCATAACAAAGGATCTACAGAATCATTATTCTATAGTTATAGAATATGATCCTGAAAATATATGTTATGAATATCTACAACTATATACTGGTGAATATTGGTGTAATCAATGTAATATCAAATGATTTAAGAGTAAATTCAAGAATTAAAATAGTAGCAATGAAGCAATTAATAATTTTATCCAGAAAATCTAACTTAGTGCATAGAATTCTGAAAAATTAATTGAGTAGATTCTATTTAATAGATTCAATTCTATTAAGAGCCAAAATGATAGAATTAGCCACCCAATTTTCAAAATAAAATAAACTAATGGTTATATTAAAAAATGGGATTATGTAAATAAAAAGTAGAGTAGGCATAGAATTAATGAATCACTCAATTTGTTTGATTTCCAAAGTTCAACCAAAATTTCGATAGCGGTTCTGCAATCGAGACGCTGAGAATATGCTTTATCGATATGCAGTTTAACTAGAAACCCAGAGAGAAGCAATTATATGTTTGCTATAAAAGCAGCCTATTCAACGGTATGTCATAAATGTTGGGAATGCATTTTAATGCAATTAAAAAGCAAATTTCAGAATTGGACTAGCAGCAATGAAATAATTGATCAATTTATTCAAGAAAGGCAACTAAATATACAGGATTATAGAGATTTTGTTAAATGGATTCATTTTGATAGATTCAAAGATGTTGAAGAACTTGCAAAAAGAGGGTTTAACACGGTTTTCAAAACAAGATAGATTGATGAAAATATTATTAATTAGAATTACAAAACTAACAAATAAAGGAGATATAATGCAAACAAAATATTCTGTCTGAAAAGACTTGACAAATCAGCTGATACTACAAAGGAATTTCTACAAGAGATAATTTGAATAAATGTTATTTATATTAAGAATAGAAGCTGAAATCCTAAACTACAAGTTTTAGATCATAATCTAGAGTTTATACTTCTAATTTAAAAATATAGTTTTGGATTTCTCTAATATATAATTTACTATTTAATATTGTCAAATTTCATTTTTAGATTATGAATCATCTTAAATCTTAGAAAAATTCAGATATAATCGAAATATATAGCATAACTAAAATTTCAAAAAATGATGATTATATAATAGTTATAAAATATGCATCTTTTAAAAATCTTAGAGATATGTTAAAAGAACATTATACAGAATTAAGTTAGAAAGATAAACTAGCAAACATTTGTAATATTTCTTTAGGCCTTAAAGAAATTTATAATGCAAAACTAGTTCATAAAGATTTTTATACAGGCAATATTGTAATGGATGATTTAACTTCTTTATATTTTACTGATTTTGGTTTATGCAAACCTATATCTCAAAATGCGATTTTACAAAGGCAAAAAAAAAAAATATATAGTGTGCTTCCATATGTAGCGCTTGAAGTTTTAGATGGGAAAGAATATACAAAAAAATCAGAAATATATTCTTTTGAGATAATCATGTCAGAGATATTAACTGGTTATCCTCTATATCATGATATTCTACATGATAATGATTTTGCAATAGAAATTTGTAAAGGTCTTCGACCTAAAATTAGAAGTAAAGTTCTACAACTTTTGCTAGATTTAATGAATAGATGTTTGGATGCTAACCCTTTAAATCGACCAACTGCAGAGCAATTATTTACAACTTTGTATCAATTTTGAAAAGATCATTTAAATGATTCAAGTGAATTTGCTAAGCAAATTAAAGCAATTAAATCTTCAAACAAGAAAATATAATCATTTAACTATATTATGCATCTATTAGCTATTTATAAAAGTCAACTTTTAGAATACGAAAATTTTCCTAAAGCTGTGAATCCCAAAATAAAAAGTAAGAAGAACTATTTACAGTACATTATAGTTTTCTGGTTCAATAATTAACTAAATATGATAATTAGCAACAATAGATATTGAACTCGTAATGGGGACTGATTTTTTACGTAAGTCTGTATTAATTTTTATTTCAGTGTTAAATTAACCTTTAGGTTATAATTTTGACAATTTATTTTAATTAATGAGTTTTAGCAAGCATTTAAATTGTTATAGCTAATCATTGAATATAAAGGCTAAACATAGATTTGACAATTTATTTTAGTTAATGGCAAGTTTTAGCAAGCATTTGAATTGTTATGGCTAATCATTGAATATAAAGGCTAAACATAGTCTTTTATCGATTACGATAATATATACAACAGTATTAGTTTAAACAAGAAATAATTAGTATAAATTATTCAAAGCAATAGCTTTTAATAAGACAAAAATCTACTATAGCCCTCTCCTGACCAGAAATTTAAGTTAAAATAATTTCAAATTTATATTTAAATAGTTACAAATTATTTATTTTATGGAGAGAATTTGACTTTGTATTATGTAATTATTGAATGCAAAATATTCAATAAATATTAATTATTCAGTAGATTACTATGATTTGCCCGCAGAATAAATTTATTATATGGCAGTAATCACGCCATTGCTGAATAATAAATTTATAGCAAGCAATAAGTTTCGGATATATCTGTTATCAGCCATACTGATAATTCTTTTACTTTGGTCAATAATTTAAGATCAAACAGGTGTTGTCTAATAATATTAATTATTTATACTTGAAGAAATTTTCCAAGTTTTAGCAAGCACTTGAATTGTTATAGCTAATCATTAAATACAAAGACTAAATATACTTTTTTATCAATTGTGATAGTGCTAGTGTTAAAATTTGTTATAAAAAATTATCTATTAATTCCAAAAGAATATCTCCTTATCTTTTTAATAATATAAAACTTAATCACCCACTCAGAGGGCTGAAATACAGCATAAATTATTTTATAGAGAGAATTTGTCTTTGTATTATTTCTTAGTTATGAGTAAAATACTAGCAATAAAAAATATAATATTGAAATCACAAATAATTTAATAAACACATATATATTACTTTAATGTAAATACATTAAAAGTTGGATCTGTTTAAATAAAGGTTTTTATTCGTTAATATTTATATCATTCTCCTTCAAAACTTCTACAGTCTTTGAATGGCTATTTAATACTGCCAATTTTAAATACTTAATACCTAAATCTGAATTTGAAAGTGATAATAAATTTTTCTTTAAATGCATATCACCCAAGTTATATTGAGCCATAGCATTATCTGTATTAGCAGCTTTTGTTAGATATTTGATAAACTTTTTACAGTTATACTTCATACCTGAGCTTTTATCAGTTATCATAAGTGCATAATAAAAACAAGCATCTGTATTATTATCTTCAGTGGCTTCCTTAAATAAACTAGCAGCCTGTATTATATCTTTATTCACAAAAACACTATCAGCTAGATAATGTGCTTTCTAATATTTCGCAGTACTATTTCCTAGATTAGAATGAAGCTCAAAAATTTTTCAAGCCTTTTCATAATCTTTATTCTTATGTATAATGATGCCTTCTTCAAGTAATTTCATCTTTGTAATAAAGGTTTCATTTGGTTCTGTAATTGATTGTTGCTTATTTAATTTCAAACTATCTAAATCTAAATAGCCATTAGGATAAAAAGAAGTTCTATAGCATGGTTGATTACAATTTAATGATAATTGTTCAAGTTTTAAGAATATTTTAGCAAGTCTAATTCTATCTTGTAGATTTTTTTTCCAGGCTAAATAAATATAATTTTACTAGAGTTAGCAATATTGATATAACAACAACTATTTGTATATCATTAAAATAGAAAATTCTTTACCCGCAGTAATGATTTCTTTTAAACCTTGTTGAAGCCTTTGATTCTCTAGAGTAGTTGATTCAAATTTAATTTTTTCGCGATTGCTGTTTTTAATATGTTCCATTATTTAATTCATACCTGAAATTTCTTCATACAGAATTTTTTCAAATATTAATTCCCAAATCAGTATTCCAAAACTACAATATTATTATGTTATTACAAGAAGAAATGATAATATGTGAAATATATTAGATATATAATTATACTAACCTGAAAATTTTATATTTAAAGTTATATCTATATTTAGACATCTTTTTAGATACCATCCAATGTACTAAATCATTTACATTTTTAATTAATATCAAATTTTGTTCAGTTTCACAAGAATATTTGAAATTCACGATTTTTGGTTCAAGTCTTAAAGTCATCTATATTTTATGAACAATAACATAAGATTAAAAGACAAAATAATTACTTTCAATAAAAAAAGTATATAAAATTACTATGATGTTTTCACATCTAATATCATGATGAAGAATATCACAACTATGCAAAAATACCAAACCCCAACAAATATTTAAAGCAATATGAACTTTTTCAACCCAATCAATATCTTGATTTAGATACAATTCTTTAAGATTTTCATTATCTGCCTATTCAAACACCATCACTTGATTGTCATCTAAATTAGAAAGCCCATAAAATTTTAAAATATTTGGATACTCCTTTAATTTTTCTAAAATTACAAGTTGCGCCTGAATTCTTTGATTTAAAGATATTCCATTTACAATATTTGTAGATTTGCATGCAACATTATTTCCTTGATATAATTTTCTCACTATAGATTTTTCAGTACAAAGTTTTATTTCTTCGTATAGAAGTTTATTTAATTCTTTTGGATTAATTTTAATTGCTTTCAGATGATTAATTTGATTTCCTACATTATTAGAACCATTAATTAAAAGACTAACTTTCTTATTAATAATCAGTAATTCATTGATAATTGTATTTATTTGTGAATTATTATTTGACACTTCTGGCAATTGTTTTGAGAAACTAAAAAAAATCAGAAAAAAGGTTTATATAAAAGTTTTTAAGATATTTATAAATGCGGTGGCCAAAAGCTGAAAATTTTTACCTATTTTATCATTAAAATTTTGAGTTAACATTAATTTTAATAACTTTTATAGATCTGGGGTCTACAGTAAATTTTATCTGTTTTATCTTTTCAAAATCTGCATTAAGATTTTTTTGGTCTAATTTTCTTTGTTCTTCATTAAAAATAGTTATCATAAAATGTAAATCACTCATATTTTTATCAAACTCAGAAATCAATTTTGTAAAAGTTTCTTGAACCAAATTCGCAGTTGCATATTTTTTCCAGCCTGACAAGTTTGAAACATCATTTATGAAATTTTTTATTTTCTTTAATATTTCAACGAATCTGTAAAATGCTTTATGATCACAAATTTTGGGCTGAAATTGTAAGATTTCAACATTAATCTTTGTAGTATTGACTCTAACCAATAGTGAAGTACAATTTTTTTTATTGTATTTAGCATTTTTGTAAATTTTTATTACTTCAGATACAACTACAAAAACAGTACTAATTAGAAGAATGAAAGGCTATACTGTATTAGCCAATTTTCTAACTATATTTAGACTATTTTTTAAGATATTAGAATTAGTGCCTAAAGTAGCTATGCTTTAGACATCATTAAGAACCATTTCCAAAGTTTCGGCCATTATCATTATTTACAAGCAATATAGATTTTTTTACTAATTTTGATGAGAATTCAGAAATTACTATTTTCTTAACCATTTATAAATTTTAAGCTATGTTAATTTAATAGAACTAATGCTATAATAAAGTCATACCCTGTGAAGTATATTTCGTTGTTGAACAATACTTTGTTCATTATTAAAGTTATGAACTAAACAAAGAAATTGAAAATACATAAAGATGGTAGCTAATTAATAGAATTAATAAATTTAGCTTGTTTTAGTCAATATAACTATGATGATATATTTTGTATACAGTATTATCATTACATGTCCACAAAATTAAACTAATTAAGACATAATGGATATCATAGTAAGTTTGATTGAACAGATTAGATACTTGATATTTTAATTAATATTCAAGGTTGATTTAAAAATATTACTAAAATGAAAGTGATAATTGTTATAAAAAATTTTTAATAACATTCAGATAAATTTTAATAAATATACAAAAGTTATATTTTTGATATATCTTATTTATTAAAATCAAAAAGTAACTTTGAACTTTCCGTCAGACCTGTGAAAAGTTCAAAGTTACCTTTTTGATTTTGATAAATAGGATGCATCAAAAATGCAACTTTGTATTAATGCAACTTAGAAATGTACTGGATAGTGAAAATTTGATAATTACCCGTTGCTATATTTAAATTTTACAAATAGCGATAACGATCAATAGCAAAGATCAAAATATTATAGTACCAGATCAGCTGCTAGTTTACAAATTGTTTGAATAATAACGATAGCACTATAATTTTTTTAGCAGTGAGGTTATATTAATAGCAATAAATATATGATTGTATTAGAAAAATCAAAAAGTCATGAAGCAAAAAGTATTCTATTGCTTGCGTCATTAAAAGTCTATTCTGCACAAATATATAAAAAGGTAAACTATAAATCTATATGCACTCTTTTAATGTAAACTTTAACCTTAAATCCTAGCCCAAGCCTAAAAAAAAAACTAAAAAAGCGTTATTATCACGTGTAAATAAGAAAAATTGGATGCATTAAAGCCTCGCATATTACTGCTAAGATGATCTTTTGTCAATAAATTTAATATAAAAATTTTCTAATTAATATATTGAATCTGTGTAAATCTGCAATAAAGTAATACTATACAAATATTTATTTAAAGAATACAAGATTTAAATTACTATGAATTTTGTTCAATAATTATAGACATCTTGTAATAAAATTTCTAATTTTAAAGTAGCGTATTGTAATAGCTTGTGAGAATTTTTTTTGTTAGAACTGAAAGGTGGTAAACAATTTATTTAAAGAAAGTATAATTCTATATTAAACTAGTTCTTACATTCTGACAGATTTTTCTATCTAAAAATACAAAGTTGTCAGTACATTTTGAAAATAATACAAAGTAATCACTTGTAATTATTTAAAAGAAAATTAACTACAAATCACCACTGGTGATCATCACCGGTGATTTACGATATATAATTAGATATAACATGTAAACTTTTTAAACAAAAGTTTATTTGTTTTGATATTAGGGTAAGGGTAATGGTTTGATAATAAAGTTAAACAAA